CATTTAACCCCTCCCTGCTGGGTCCGCGGCTCATGCAGGGTTAGAGGCCCTGAGAGCTGGAAGTGGGAAGGTGCCAAGTCACCCAGGAGCTCCTGCCCTTCCAGAACTAGTGGCGCGTTTCCTCTCACCATCATGCTTGTCCAAGATCGCTCCAGTGGACAGCTCCTGTGAACATGATTCTCCCTACATTGTCACATAAATGCTACCAGGCTTCTGATTGCTAAAATTTCATTTGAATAAGCCAGGAAACACTGAAAGAGTGTTTCCTGTAGGTTCAAGGGTTGAAGACTCCTGATATGAATACCCTGAAATATGTTAGTTTGGAAACTTTTTTTTTTTGGAAACTTAAAATTATACCAGAGCATGTCTTTTGGTCAAATTTAGTAATCAGAATGACTCATATGTGTCAGTATACAAAATCACTCCAAAAGAAGCCTGAGTGAAGGTGAAAATTTCCTTCTCAAGGCCTAAATCACTGTATAACCCAGGAGATACCCATTTCAGGTATGCTGATAATAGCTGTAAGTATTTACTTTGGTTAAACTTGGCTTGTTTTTTTCTGCAACATGTTGGAATGTGCTTATAGCTATACTGGTCAGGTGACTCAGAGAAGGGGGATTTAAAGGGGAAGAAAGTGGATGACATTCATTTGTTGAGAGATCTTGAGTCCAGTGGAGAAACTAAAATTCAGGTCTCGTATGACCTACTTATGATAAAATAACCTTCTATAAAAATAAAGGGAAGTAGAGGGCATGAGAGATCAGTATTTTGTTTATGAGTTCATACCACTATGAACCATATGAGATTTTTGTTAACCTCATATCAAACTGTAAGAAAACAAGCAAAAGAAATTAAGTAATTCCATATGACCCTACAGAACTGAAGTGTGAACTCTTAATCTGAGCAGAGAACTGAAAGCTTTGAGTCTCACTATTTTTATACATCTTTAAATGTTTACTGGATAGTTGAACCAGATTTAATTTACAGTGTACCAAAGAATTTTTTTTTCCAACATGAAGCACAAAATAGGAAAATAACCCAAATGTAATTATTTTCTATTTAACTTTGTCTCCCCCAGATACTTCCTATTTTATTGGGTTTTGGGAGATTAAAACTGAAAGAACCAAAGCAATCTATTTTTTCACCACTAATACTACATTGATTTCACTTTTGCATCTCATTAGTTTAATGCAAACAAAAATCATACCTGAGATTTCCTTTCCCCTGTTATTCACATTCTTTACTGTTTCCCACAGGTACACACATACCTGTCAGTCATTTGTGTGTATAATCTCCCTCAAACCAACTCATTCATACTAATGACTGCTCTATTTGTAAAAATAGTGTAGAATTTATGAACCTGGGTGGGTGTTTGTACAGCTGTATGACATTAATCTGTAAATTGCAGGTTTTGCTCACACCTGGGGAAAGACTAAGTGAGCTTAAAATGTGGTCTTTTAGTCCATCAGTAACCAAATGACCCAGAAAGGGGTTCAGCTGAGGCCACCTTGTGCAGCATTGCATTTTAAATGACTGAATTGTGTTAGAATGAAGTTCTGGTGTAGTTATGGAGAATTTTTCCCCGAATGTATTTTGACTGATCATCTTTAAATTCCAGCAAGCCAGTAGGGTCAACAGCATTTATGTCCATTTTGCAGATGAGGTACTAAGAGGCCAAATAGCAGGAAGTCTGTAGTTACAGCATCTTAGACTCCGGGAGTTGGTGATGGACAGGGAGGCCTGGTGTGCTGCGGTTCGTGGGGTCACAAAGAGTTGGACATGAATGAGCGACTGAACTGAAAGTTGGCAAGGACCTTAAAGAGCCTCTCAGCTAATGGTCCTCAGCCTTTACCTGCTTTCACACTGGTTTCATGCAACAAACCTTCATCAGGCACATCTTTCACTGTACACAGATGCTCACACACTGGGAAGGAGTGTGACTCCATGGAGAATAACTCAGAATCTCCAGGCAAGAACAGATGTAACGTCCCACATCACCATCCTCTGTTGAAAAAAAAAAAAAAGAAAAAAAATCACTGTATTAGTCCAACTCCATTTTACAGATAAAATGTGGTGGCCCAAGGAGGTAGGCAGTTCACCCAGAACTTGAACTATGCCCAGGCCTTCTGCCCCCAGTCCAGTGCTGGTGTCAGTACAGCTGACTGGCCCTTTGCACACTCACAGCAGAAACCGGAACCAGGTGCCCAATTTAGAGAGCCAGGCAGAGCTGGGGATGAACGCCCCAGAATCCCCTGCCACAAGGAATCAAAGACCCAGTCACAATTAGTTTAGTAAAACCAGCACTATCTGGTGTCCCATATCCTCAAGCATTTAAAGTGTCGTTCCAATCTTCAAAGACATTCTTCCGTTCCATTTTTATCTGCTTTTACCCAGGACATTGTTTCCCAGCACCCGAGTAGTTCACTAGGTGATTTGCATCTCATTAGGAGCTCCAGAAATGACATCTCCCAGCCTGCTGCCTGGCATTGTGGGTCTGCTAAGCAGCAGATCCAGGTTGTGGATTTTTTTTTTTTTTTCATGTTGACATTTTTGAAAAAGCTGAATTAATGCTGTTTTCCCACTGGGCACACTTTGTGCAGCCATTTTCGGCTTAATTCCTATCCTCCTACAGGACCAAAGTTATAGAACAGAAGTGGATCATCCCCACATGAAGACACCTGGCTGGAAAGGAATGCTGTGAGGCCTGAAAATAAGCAGTTTTAAAACTCCTAAAAGCAGAGAGATGGGACATGATGTAAACATTCTGACCACTATGTAAAGTAAAAGAAAAAGAAGGAAAAGCAACACAACCCATTAGAATCTGTTTAACTGATTCTAAGCTTGTACCTTTTAAACATTTTTGATGAGTTTCAAGCCTCCTAACACCTCAGAGATTTTGCCTTGCATTTGTTTTGCCTTAAAGGAAGTCTTACTAGGTTCGACTGGCTTTTCAGCTTTGTCACACATTCATATAGAGACTTCCAGAAGAGTACTGAGCAGCATTGTACTTCTGAAAACCAGATATAATGTTTCCATGATCAGCAAAACTTTTCTTTTGGAGTAAGAGAAATGATTTTCCCAATGTCCAGGGAAATCAATCTCTGCTTTGGCCTCAAGCTGTTTGATGCAGCTTCCAGGGCAAAGAAAATGCTTGACGTTGAGGGCCCTATTGGAGATGCTTCCCCTTCCCAGAATTCCTTCTGTCCTTGCAAAACCTCTCTGATTCTGGGCCAACTTTCAAGATAGCAGCTAACAAATCCACAAAATCAATCTAAGCTCTTAGGAAAGAGTTAAATCTCTGGTCTTTTCCAACCCTGGCTACAAATTAAGATCATCTGAAAGGGGGAGGGGCATTTTAAAAATAATAACAATTCCAGAGACCTAATCCTAACCAACTGAATTAGGATTTCCAGGGGTGAGGCTGAGGCATCAGTGTTTTTCAAAAGGTCTTTAGGTGATACTAACATACAAACAAGGCAGAGAACCACTCTCACACACCAAGAATTATGACAGCCACTTAGGCGTGCTTGCTCTGCCTCCGCTGCCCTGCTTTCTCTTTCCATATGTTATATGTCATCCTCACTGCAGCCTTACTTGCGTGATCATCATCAGCAAGTTCAGACTCGTAGCAAGTGCTAGAGGTGGGATTCATACTTTGGTTTTTCTGACTTCCCTGCCTTTCTTCTTCTGCAACATTCATGTTTCTTAAAGCGTGGGATGTAGATCTCTGATAGTTTGCACGTTGATTTTAGATGGTGTGTGGGTATGACCTTAAATAACACTGAATTGTGTGAAAGTTATTCCTTTTACAATTCTTACTTTTAATTCTTCAGATTAAGGAGAAAGTCTTAGTGGTATTAGTATGTCTTAAATCCCTCTCACCTGTCTTTTTAACAAAATTTTAAGAAGCCTAGAACATTCTGTGGGAAATAGAATCTAGCTCAGGTGTAATAATATTGTTTTATTCTCACTGTACTTACTTTATGATTTGCTTCTGTTTATGGCAAATAGCATATGTTTTCCACTTACAATAGTAAAGCTTCATTTTAAAAGAAGTGTATTTATGTGAAAAAAGTAATTAAGTTTTTAAAATATTAAAAAATAGTACAGGTGTCTTGAATATAGCACAAAAAAAAAGTTTATGTGGCAGTTGAATGACAGAAGTTTGAAAAATACTTCCCTACAACATGGCACAGACAGCAGGGAAGGGCAGGCATTCACCCTCTCAAGTAATTAATGAAATTCAGATCAAAACAAACGATATGCCATTTTTTTCACCTATTGAATTGTCAGGATTTTTCTTAAAGATGCTGGTCCATGATGCTGAAACCCTTCGAAAACAAGTCATCTCAGGTACAGGTGATAGAAATATATTTTGCTACGTACTTCCTAGAAGGCAGTTGGAAATAAAACTTGTAAGTTTTTAAAATATAATCTGTGGCCAGTAATTCCACTTCTAGGGATTTATCCTAAGAAAATAATGTGAATTGTCAAAGCTCATGAGTATGAGCTTTGAGTATGTTGTTGAGTATGAGTTGAGTATGAGTAGGGGAAACATATGAGTATGTTTCCCACAGCATTGTTTATTATTGAAAAACACTGCAAGCAACTTCTGTGCCCAAAACAAGAAATTACATAAGTTAATTATGGTCCATTCGTAAAAAGAAATAGCATGCAACTTTAGAATTGATGCCATTTAGACAAATCTGGAAGACAGATAAGAAATCTGTTCCAATATTTGCTGCTATTATGGGAATGGGATCAGGGTTTTTTGTTGTTGTTTTTTTTTTCTTTTCATTGCTTAACTTATTTGAACATCATGCTCATTCATTACTTTAAAAATGTAACTCAAAGTGTGATACTATTTTTAAATTAGGCTAAAAAATGGGAAATATTTATAACTTTACTGTTAAGTGTGAGGAAAAGCAGTAACAAAGTATATGAATGACTAATTTTTTGTTTAGAAAAGTGAATATGTATTCTTAGAAAAAATATTGAAATGATTTTAAGAAAAAAGTATACAACGAACCTTGTTTGTTAAAGGCCATTTTCATCTCCCTCATTGGCAGACTAAGGTTCCCCAGAGCTGTCCCAGGATAGGAAGGTCCTTGGCAATAATATCCCAATTGACAGAAACAAAGAGTGGACCACAGAAATGGAACAGGACTTAACAAGAATGATGAATAGTCACCATTCATTCATTCATTATTTGGTGAGTGTATGTCAGTCCCTGAGCTATGAAATAGTTTCAGGAGAAGTTATTACCACTTCCCTTACTAATAAGGAGAAAATTCCACACAGACAATTTAAAACTCCACCATCTTCCACAGGCACTAATGTAACTCAGGGATGTTTTCTTTGTAGCAATTTTGCAATTTTGAAGAAGATTGTTCATGACATAACATGGCAACTGGGAAAATTTGTAGCTTTCCTTTCATCTTAGAAAGGAAGATCTGAATTACATGCACCCCAGGAGAAAATATCTCTTTCTGGTTGTGTGTGTGTGTGTTTTACAAAAACCTGCTGAATTCCTTAGTCTCTCCTGAAGTTAGATATAGTAAGCTGAAAACTTGTCAGAATGTCTCAGTTAGAGAACAAGCATCAAAATACCTAGGCCGTGGGGTTCGAAACAAAAGACCTGAGTCCAAGCCCAGGTTCTGAGCAGAGGCCAGCAGAGGGGCCCAAGCTCCCTGACATTCAGAACCCCTAGACATAAAAGCAAGGTGCTGAACCACAGAGATTATCATCCTCCATATCATGACTTAAAATGGAACATTTGAACTTCCAAGGCATAATTTCTCCCCTTTGACTCCCTATCCAGTATGTATGGATGTGAGAGTTGGACCGTAACGAAGTATCCAGTACATATGTAGCCAGTACATACATACTGGATACTTACTGTACATACATACTTACTGTATCCAGTATGTATGGATGTGAGAGTTGGACGATAAAGAAAGCTGATGCCAAAGAATTGAAGCTTTTGACCTGTGGTGTTGGAGAGTACTCTCTTTTTTTAAATTTATTTATTTATTTTAATTGGAGGCTAATTACTTTACAATATTGTAGTGGTTTTTTGCCATAGATTGACATGAATCAGCCATGGGTGTACATGTGTTCCCCATCCTGAACCCCCTCCCACCTCCATTCCCATTCCATCCCTCTGGGTCATCCCAGTGTACCAGCCCTGAGCACCCTGTCTCATGCATTGAACTTGGACTGGTGATCTATTTCACATAAGATAATATACATGTTTCAATGCTGTTTTCTCAAATCATCCCACCCTCGCCTTCTCCCACATGGAGAAGACTCTTGAGAGTCCCTTGGGCTGCAAAGAGATCCAACCTGTACATCCTAAAGGAAATTAGTCCTGACTGTTCATTGGAAGGACTGATGCTGAAGCTGAAGCTCTAATACTTTGGCCGCCTGATGTGAAGAGCCGACTCACTGGAAAAGACCTTGATGCTGGGAAAGATTGAAGGTGGGAGGAGAAGGGAGCAACAGGGGATGAGATGTTTGGATAGCATCACCGACTCAATGATGATTTTGAGCAAGCTCCAGGAGATGGTGAAGGACAGGGAAGCCTGGCATGCTGCAGTCTATGGGGTTGCAAAGAGTCAGACATAACTGAGCAACTGAACAATAACAGCAACTCCTTATCAAGACTCTAAGTTTCTCTGACATAGCCCATGTCCCACAGCATATCAGGAGCCAGTGGTTTACAACACACTGGTTGTTAATCTGAAACTCAAATCTAGACAAATTTTTTTTCTTTTCCTAAGTCTGTCAACCCTAATTCTACAGACTTGATAATTATACAATTTTCTATAGACTGCATTCTTTTTTTTTTGGCTGATCCTGAGCAGCATGAGAAATCCTAGTTCCCCAAGCAGGGATTGAACCCATGCCCCCTACAATGGGAGTGAGGAGTCTTAACCACTGAATCACCACTAGAGAAGTCCCACAGACTGCATTTTTAAAGTAGTGAAAATCATTGAACACTTTATGCCAATGTAGTTCTTATTGGTCTAGTACCATGACTCTCAACCATGGTTGCATGTTAGAACCATCTAAGGAAATTAAATCTATATATCTATCCATCTGGTCTTCCCTGGTGACTCAGGAGCAAAGAATCCATCTGCAATGCAATAGACACAGGTTCTATCCCTGGGTCAGAAAGATTTCCCCTGGAGAAGGAAATGGCAACCCACTTCAGTATTTTCACCTGGGAAATCCCATGGACAGAGGAGCCTGGTGGGGTCCCAAGAGTCAAACACAACTTAGTGACTAAACTATCACCAGTACCATCTATCTTTCTGTCTATATGTCTGTCTAGCTATCTGTCTGTATCTATATGTATCTATATACAGATATGGAGCTTGGCTGGTGGCTCAGATGGTGAACAATCTGCCTGCAATGCAGGAGACCCAGGTTTGATGCCTGGGTTGTGAATATTCCCTGGAGGAGGGCATGGTAACCCACTCCAGTATTCTTGCCTGGAGAATCCATGGACAGAGGAGCCTGGTGGGCTACAGTCCATGAACGTGTAGTAGTTCCTGATCTGGACATTGGTAATTTTTTAATTAATTTTTTAATTGGAGGAAAACTGCTTTACAATGCTGTGTTGGTTTCTGATGTACAACTCACATCAGCCATCATCATACATATGTCCCCTCCCTCTTGGGCCTCCCTCCTCTCCTCCCATCCCACCCCTCTAGGTCATCTCAGAACACCAAGCTGGGCTCTCTCTATTATATATGGACACTGGTACTTTTAAAAGCTGAACATCTGCTGTAGTGTGAAGAAAATGAGCCTAAATAGAATGTATCTCATAACCTCATATAGGATTTGCCATCTGTAAATCCAAACTCTGTTTGCTTCAAGAGGATGTTTTACTTGGCAAGCAACCCTGGAAATGCCTCATCCACAAAATGGCAATCAGACCAAAAGTCCTACTGCTCAGAAAGTATCCATGTTTGCTGAGGCCCTCAAGGAGGGTGCAAAAGACTGGCTTTCCTTGGAACCCTGCTCCCTGCCTGCCCACTCCTCAAGACTTGGAATCCAAACTGTCCCACCAAGCCAGAGAATATTCGGGCTGCATGAGCCATCCTGCCATCCCTGTGGTTGTCCTTCCCTTGATGTAACTGTGCTAGGAAATTTACCAGAACTGGCACATCCAGATTAGGTGATGAAAAGGGAGACATTCTTAGGGTCAATGTTTGGGAAGAGCATTTGTGGCCAAAATAGCTCTAACTCAGCAAGTCAAATAGAACAGAGGAAGTCCTTCTTTATCTCTGGGATGCTAGGAGAAAAACAAAAAGCCTCATTTGTGACTTAAAATTGTGTTTTAATTAGGGTTGCCAGATTTAGGGGGGAAAATGGGACACCTGGCTATATTTGAATTTCAGATAAATAACCAATCACTTTTTAGTATAAGTATGTCCTGAATATTGCACAGGATATACTTACACTCAAAAGGTATCAGTTGCTTATCTGAAACTCAAATGTAAGCAGGTACCCTGTATTTGATCTAGCCACTCTAGTTAGAATATACCTGCATGTTCAATAAAGAAAATTGAAATATTAAATTCCCAAGCCAGTCATTTAAAGTTACAGAACAAAGCCATCAACTGAATTCAGCCATTTGTTTCTCACCACAGGCTTGAACAATTGTGCAGTCATGCCATGTAATGACTTGGAATTAAGGAATAAGGAATTCAGTTCAGTTCAACCACTCAGTCGTGTCCAACTCTTTGCGACCCCACGAACTGTGACACACCAGGCCTCCCTCGCCATCACCAACTCCCGGAGTTTACTCAAACCCATGTCCATGGAATCGGTGATGCCGTTCAACCATCTGATCCTCTGTGGTCCCCTTCTCTTCCCGCCTTCAATCTTTCCCAGCATCAGGGTCTTTTCAAATGAGTTAGTTCTTCGCATCAGGTGGCCAAAGTATTGGAGTTTCAGCTTCAACATCAGTCCTTCCAATGAATAGTCAGGACTGATTTCCTTTAGGATGGACTGGTTNCCGTCCGCAGTGATTTTGGAGCCTGAGAAAATAAAATGTCACTGTTGCCACTTTTTCCCCTTCTATTTGCCATGAAGTGATGGAGCCAGATGCCACGATCTTAGTCTTTTTAATGTTGACTTTGAAGTCAGCTTTTTCACTCTCCTCTTTTACCCTCATCAAGAGGCTCTTTAGTTCCTCTTCACTTTCTGCCATTAAAGTGGTTTCATCTGCATATCTGAGGTTGTTGATATTTCTCCTGGCAATCTTGATTCCAGCTTGTGATTCATCCAGCCCAGCATTTCACATGATGTACTTGCATATAAGTTAAACAAGCAGTGTGACAATATAAAGCCTTGTCATACTCCTTTCCCAACTTTGAACCAGTCAGTTGTTTCATGTCTGGTTCTAACTGTTGCTTCTTGACCTGCATACAGATTTCTCAGGAGGCAGGTAAGGTGGCCTGGTATTCCCATCTCTTTCAGAATTTTCCACAGTTTGTGGTGATTCACACAGTCAAAGGCTTTGGCATAGTCAATAAAGCAGAAGTAGATGTTTTTCTGGAACTCTTTTGCTTTTTCAATGATCCAGCGGATGTTAGCAATTTGATCTCTGGTTCCTTTGCCTTTTCTAAAACTAGCTTGAACATCTGGAAGTTCATGGTTCACGTATAATAAGGAGTATTCCCTAATAAGTGTCTGCAGGAATTGGACATGACTTAGCATTTCCTGGTGCTATTGAAACTCCCTCCATATTTCTTGCATTTTCTGACAGATTTATATCCAGTTTATTATAGAGTTCTGTGACAACTCAGAAGAGAGGGTGTGTTCAAGATCTCAAAAATGAAATAAAAAAGGTGCAGGGGAAAAAAATGTACAGAGATTCTTGAAAAGGAAAGAGACCTATGTTAAATGCAAACTAGTATTCATGATATAATACACAGTAGGTAGGTGGCGCCCAGAGTGTGGGTTTCCTAGGTGGTGATAGTGGTAAAGAACCCACCTGCCAATGCAGGAGATGCAAGAGATGAGGGTTCAATCTCTGGGTCAGGGAGGTCCCCTGGAGGAGGGCATGGCAACCCACTCCAGTATTTTCACCTGGAAAATTCTATACAGAGTAGCCAGGCTGGCTAAAGTCCATGGGCCACAAAGCATAGGACATGACTGAGCACGCACACACACACACACACACACACAACCCAAAGTATTACAAACTGAAGTTTGGCTTGGCTTACAAATATTTACGTGAAGCAGAAGTTGGCTACTTACAGAATATGAACTTCATTGTCTCCAAAGTAAATAACTTACATTCTAATGTATGTCTTCAAACTCAAATTGCGCAGTTTATCTACATAAGCTAGTCAAATGAACTAGGAAATTGTCAGATAATCCTGTTGCTTTGTATCTCTTATGGGCAAACTGATTGGCTAAAGGGCTAAAAGACAGGGATTCATGCATCCACTCTGCCACTTACAGACTTAGTCTTTCTCACTTGTAATTTCTTTATATACTGAAAGAAACAATTTTTGTTCTACATGCCTCATTATTTTTTTTTTAATTTTCAAGGAAAAAAATCTTGACAAACTTCTCAAAGTCCATACACAGATAGGTTTAGTCACTGTACCATATGCTATTTTGTGTTTTGCTTCATTTTCTTAATTTTGAATTTTCATGTATCAATATCATACCCATTTTTATCCTCATTGGTGCTCTCATGACATGACATCATATTTATATCTCAGCAGTAATTTCTCCCCAATTATTAAATATTTATTGTGATTCTAGCTTTTTTCTGTTGAAGAAAGTGTTACATCCATTTTTATACAAGTGGTTTTTTTGTTCTTTTTCAGTTTACTTTGTTGGAACATGATCCTTGCAACAAGTTGCTTAGTTTTTGTTATCTATTGTCAAGTCACTCCAGGAGAGGGGGAGCCTATAGACTCATCTGTATATCCAGGGCCACTCCCACATTGTCTTTTGACCTTTCAATTTATCCTAATAGAAAGGCAGTAGTAATTCTTTTAACTGAAGCTCTTTGTCAAGGTGGCTGAATATTTTTCAGTATCTCATTTCATAATTGTATTTCAAAATATAGAAATATATCTGTTAGCTCAGTTGGTAAAAATCTGCCTGCAATGCAGGAGACCCAGGTTCAATTCCTGGGTCTGGAAGATCCCCTGGAGAAAGAAATGGCAACCCACTCCAGTATTCTTGCCTGGAGAATTCCATGGACAGAGGAGCCTGGCGGACTACAGTCTATGGGGTTGCAGGAGTCAGACATGACTTAGCGACTACACCACCACCACCATCTTTCTCTTTCCTCAGTCTTTCCACATTAAGTATAGTATCGTGTCTCTATATTTTAATTTGTTTTTAATCTTTCTGTTGCGCTTTCTTTCATCTTAAAGTTTTATTACTGTTCATCATATAGAATATTTCACTTTAATATAATTGAACCCATCCTTGTCCCTATTATCTTCTTCCACAGTTAAGATAGGTAGTCTTTTTCATTTCCTTCTACAGTTTTCATGGGACTATTCAAAATGTTTAACTATATCACATCTGGAATGTATTGTGGCCTGTGAGAACCAAGAACTGTATTGAGAAAAATAAAAGATTTAGAGTTAAAAAATAACTAATTTGAGTTCACCAGTAATAGCTATGGCCTTAGGCAAGTCACTAACCTTTTAAGGCACGGTGTCCTCTACTAGACTGAAGGCAAGGACCTTGTCTTATTTCTCTTTGTCTTCCCCACATCATCAAGCGAATTACCTCACATATATAGAATATATTTTGTAAGCTCTATATTTAAGTTATATTTTTGCACATTGCTGTCCGGTTGTTGCAACAGCAGTACTTGAATTTGTTTCTCAATTTAGTTGGCTGCTTGTGGTTGATCATATATCACTAATACTCAGTTTTGCTCCAATAGCAAAATACCTGTTCCAATGTTTTGAAAAGCAACATAAAATATGGAGGTATTAAAGTTAAAATAATAAAAATTAAAATTTGACGCTAAATCAGATACCAGCTTATACTAGATTCTAGTATGGTATAGATACCATCAGATACTAATATTTTGTTTTAATTTATGGGAAATTTTAAAAAGAGAAAATTCAATCCAATAACTGATTCTTTCTAAGAATCGGGAAAAGAACACCCACCCATGGAACAGCAGATTCATCAACAGCAAAAATTGAGATCCACGTCTTATATTAA